CTATCTCGGAATTAGGTCCATGATGGTTTTTGGGCCCAATTACGAAGTTGGGCCATATTGGGCATTAGGATGCCATTTAGGAATTTTGGCTTTTTGAGTAAATAGGTTGGGCCTTGGTTTTGGGCCAAGTAAGAAAAATGGTAAAATGGTCATATACCCTGGATGTTGGACAAGTAATTTAGATTCTTGATTATGGGTCGACATCTAATTATTAATTGGATATTATTTGATGGTGTTAGCGCAAAGATTTTCTGGATCAACAGACCGAGATCTTATATGAGAGATTCAGCAGCTTGAGGTCAGTTTCCTCACTGTGTTTAGCGGGTCAAAGGCACCAATGTTGGCCCATGGTTTATTATGATTAGAATGCTAGTTGTCTACGTGACTCTGCATGTATGTTTTCTGATATGTTTACTGGGCGGGGCCCAATGTCGGGCGGGGCCTGATGATTATATTGTATGCTATTTATCTTTGTGATTCTTGCATGTGTTTATGTGTTTGTATGTATACCGGGCAAGGCCTGATGAGTGACAGATTTTTTCCAAGCAGGGCTCAATGACAGGTGGGGCCCGATGACGTGCGGGGGCCATTATATGTTTGATATGTATGGTATGTGAAATTTTGGGGAACTCACTAAGCTTTGCGCTTATAGTTTTCAGTTTATGTTTCAGGTACTTCTGGTTTGAAGGGGAAGAGCTCGGGATGACTGCATTGCACACACCATATTATTCCGCATTTCACATGACTCTGATGTTTTTGGATGTTATTTGATATACCCTGATTACACTATGGTTTTAAAGAAACGAGAAAGACGAAATTGTAAGATACAAGGCTACGCTTGTGGCTCAAGGTTTCTCTCAAAGACCTGGAATTGATTATAAAGGAATCTTATTCACCAGTAATAGATGCAAGCACTTTTAGGTATTTAACCAGGTTGGCAGTCTCTGAAAATTTAGAGATGCGCCTTGTGGATGTTGTTACAGCTTACTTGTATGGATCACTTAATAGTGATATCTATATGAAAATCCCTGAAGGATTTAAAATGCCTGAAACATTAAGTGCAAAACCCAAAGAAATGTATTCTATAAAATTGCAAAGATCTTTGTATGGGTTAAAACAATATGGACGCATGTGGTACAATCGTTTAAGCGATTATTTGACAACTAAAGGTTATAAAAATAACACTATTTGTCCATGCGTATTTATTAAGAAAACAACATCTGGATATGTGATTATAGGGGTCTACGTTGATGATCTAAACATCATTGGAACGAATAAAGAAATCCTTGAAGTGATTGAACTTTTAAAGAAAGAATTTGAAATGAAAGATCTTGGCAAAACCAAATATTGTCTTGGTTTGCAGATTGAGTATATGCCTAACAGAATACTTGTGCATCAATTAAATTATATAGAAAAAGTCTTGAAACGTTTCAATATGGTCAATGCCAATCCTTTAAGCACCCCAATGGTTGTTAGATCATTAAATATTGACAAAGATCTATTTCGTCCTCGCGAAGAAATTGAAGAAGTTCTTGGTCCAGAAGTACCATATCTAAATGCAATTGGGGCTCTTATGTATCTTACCAATTATACCAGACCTGACATTTCTTTCGCTGTAAACTTGCTAGCAAGGTTCAGTTCATCCCCAACAAAAAGGCATTGGAATGGGATTAAGCATATTTTGCGATATCTTCGAGGAACTACTACTGATTTAGGGTTATTTTATCATAATGATTCAAAACAACGTTTGATTGGTTATGCAGATGCAGGCTATTTATCTGATCCTCATAAAGCTAGATCTCAAACTGGATATGTATTCATGAACGGAGGCACCGCAATTTCCTGGCGCTCTCAAAAGCAAAACACTTGTCGCCACATCCTCAAATCATGCTGAAGTAATTGCACTAAATGAAGCTAGTAGAGAATGCACATGGTTAAGATCGATGAGACAACTCTTTTTGTCTTCATGTGGACTAGATAAAGGAAAAGGTCCAACTTTAATTTATGAAGATAACTTAGCGTGTGTCACTCAAATGAAAGAAGGATATATCAAGAGCGACAGGACAAAACACATACCTCCAAAGTTTTTTGAGTACATTCAAGAGCTTATAAAAGATCAAAAGGTTGAGATAGAATATGTTCAATCTAGCAACAATGTAGCAGAACTCTTTACGAAAGCACTTCCTACTGCAATCTTCAGAAAACATGTACATGGAATCGAAATGCGACATGTGCATAACACGTAACGTAACAGATGTCTAAATGAGAGGGAGTCAACTATATACTGCACTCTTTTTCTCTTTGTTAAAGTTTTTTCCCACTGGGTTTTATTTAGCAAGGTTTTTAATGAGGCAGTACTTCAAGGTTGAACTCAGATTTGAAAAAATGTCATCCAAGGGGGAGTGTTATAAAAGTCATAAGATTATTGAGTTAGACATAGCATGTGGATGAACATTTTTCACCCTTCAAATAGTTTACTTTAACTATTTAGTTACTATTTTGATGATGTAAGAATAAGATGATATGTAGTATAAATACTCATCAAATCTGAAAGAAATAAACATACCATCTTGAATACAATCTTCTAAGTGTTCAAGAATCCTCTCAAATCTTCTTCTTTTATTTTATAATGTTCTAGTTTAATTTTGTTAGTTTTAGTTTTAATTACATCAAATTTACAACATATATATTATTTTAGGGAATTTTTTTTATAATGTAATATATAAAAGAGAAAACGACTATAATAACTAATTTTTAAAAGTTTATATCACAAAATGCCACAAAAGTGAAAGTTTTTTTGCAGTTGACTGCAATTCTCTCTCTCTCTCTCTCTCTCTCTCTCTCTCTCTCTCTCTCTCTCTCTCTCTCTCTCTTTCAAATTTTGAACTTTCATAAGAACACCGTTTGAATTAAGTGTGTTTTCATTGTGTTTTTTTTATGCAACAAAGCTTTCCGTGGATATATTACAAATTAAATTTGGATGTCAGAAAGTTATATTTTTTAACTTCAAAGTAGGATAATCGCTGAAAATATGAAAAACAACAACAACAACTTTGACCATTCATAATTTTCACATATGAACTCTTTTTGAGCTGAATTTTTTTCATTGTGTTCTTTGTAATAAGGTATTTCTATGGACATATTACACTCCCAAATTTGGATGTCAGGAAGTCGTATTATTTTTAACTCCAAAGTAGGTTATTCGGTGAAAATTTTGACAAAAACAAAACTCTTTATGTTTCGCATACAAACTTTATAACAATCATCGTACTATGTTGGTTCTCCCAACTACAAAGGTTCCCTGTAAATATCTAAAAAAAATTCGCAGCCAACCTTAAAAAAAGCTTTTTCATAATAGTGGCTATTTTGTTCATTTTCTTTATTATTATTTTATGTTATTTAAAAAAAATGATTATAATGATCATTTATTAATATATAAAATATGGACAAAACTACAAAAATGATCAATGTGGTATGTATTTTTCAGGAAAAATGTCTAAACCACTAAACTTTTGGATTAGTGGTCCTTATGAGCATGCTTGTATGCGTTTTTGGTCCCTCAAAAAACTGAAAAGCCTATTTTCCCTAGTGATACATTTTTATGTGTTTTCAATTTAATTTAAAGTTTTATTAATAATAAGTATGGGGCCCATCCTCTCTCTTTCTACTCTTCTATCTATCTATCTATCTATCTATCTATTTATCTATCTAAATAGTCTATCTATCTATCTATCTTTCTGCCCCCACAATTGGTTCAACCAACAAACAAAATTTGTAAGCTTTAACATCTTCAAACCTATTTTCTACAAATCCAATCAAACCTTGAAACCTCTGATAAAATCTAAACCAAAATCAAGATCAAACAATTTAAAAACAAAACTAATGAAATTAAAACCAAAACTAACATCTATCAAAACGTTTATGAAACGTTTATACAATATTAAAATAAAACCCAAATTCACGATTGAAACAAACTCGAACATATCAAAATTTAAAACCAAAACCAAAATCAAATTGGGGTTCTAAAACGATAACACGGTGTCAAGAGTGTTTTTCGGCGGCGAGGTTGCTACAGCTTTTCCTCTTGATGCAAATCTGTTACATGCCAGCAGAAGTGGAGAGCGAAGGTGTTCGGTGGTGACTACAAATTCCAGCGGCGGTGGGTGGAGGGAATCACGGAGAACGCAACTAAGGGTTAGGATTGGAATGAATAGGTTACAATGGTGTTTGGGTCAGTGGCGATGGAATCCTAGGTTACTGGTGAAAACAACATCAACCCACTAGTGGGAGTCGTGATGGGGGTGGAGTCCGATATCTCACCGAAAAATAAGTAGGATAATCCCTCGTCGCAGCCTTAATGTCGCCCATTTTAAGCCACTTCTGACCATCCATTTGCAAAACGAACACCACCAATGGATTCTCCATACAATCCAGTTCAAACTCACCTTCTCCACTAGCACGGACGACTTCCCATTTTCTTTTGTTGGAGGCGTGCATCATGGGGCTCCGTCGACACCACCTTCTCCACTGCCTTCTCAACCGACGGCGCGGTTGTTTGAGATGAACACCAGCAAAATATGTATGACACTGGATGGAGGAGAATCTAGAGACGATTTCAAAGGAAACATTTAAACAAATGTTGCATGTTCTCACTTTATTGGTGTTGTGAATCAGAACCAAACAACAGGGATATATATATATATATATATATATATATATATATATATATATATATATATATATATAGATCCATAATCTTTATTACATATCTACAAATATTTTAAAAAATCTTAAAAATAATAAGAAGGTTATAATAGTCTTTTTAGTTTGGACTGGGACCGGAAACAAAGTTGCTAAAAAGGAACTCCAATCCACAAGTTTAATCATTTGAACCTTTTTCATGGAAAAATGAAAACCACGGGGACCCTTAATAATCTACTTCTTTACTTTCAATCCACAACTCTTCATGGAGTTGAAGAGTCGGACGAACCTTGGTGATCATGATGAAAAGAATGAAGAAACATGTGTTTGGAATCAACATTAACTTGTCATCTACAAAATTTAAGCGAAATCGAAGCAGGAACAGGATACATGTGAGGAGAAGCACAAGGTTAGTGTTTTGCGGTGTCGTCCTGGGATTACCGGAAAATAGAAAACGAAAACGTGATTTTTTAGTTTCTAAGATCAATTTCTAGGGTTTTCTTATATCATGTGTTTTATGAAATCGTGTGTTTTGCATTCTAGGATGTTCTGAAATCATGTGTTTTGCAGTCTAGTATTTTATGAAATCATGTGTTCTTTAATTCGAGTTTTGTGTTTTAAGGTTTTATGAAATCGAGTTCTAGGGCAGACTAAGTTTTCTGAAATAGTGGATGGTAAACAAAATCATGGATGATGAACAAATACGTCTCTGAAATCGAAGATATGGGGAGAACACATTTTTCAAAAATCGTTGATGAACATGTGTTTCATTATCTTATTTTTAGATGTGGTTCATCAGATTTTTCTAAAATCGTGGGAGAACACACCTGAGGTTTTGAGTTCTGGTGATGAACAAACCTGGGAGACGGATTATATAGGACATAGCACGTTTTCTGAAATCGTGGATAATGAACAAATTCGTCTATGAAATCAAAGATATGGGGATAAAACATTTTCAGAAATCGTTGATGAACATGTTTCTCGGTTTCTTGCTGGATGTGGTTCACCAGATTTTTCTAAAATCGTGGGGAACACACTTGAGTTTTTGAGTCTGGTACTGAACAAACCTGGTGTTGGACTTAATCCAAGATTGATCAAATTCACGTGCATTTCTTAAAAGGGCATTTTAGTCTTTTATTCTACTTTGATTTGGTAAAAGCCATGTTGGTTGTTGTTGTTTTAGTGGGTAGAAGTTTCAGGTTTTGTAGGATGCTTTTGCTATTTATTTGCTTCCAGTTTTTATGTTGAATAAGACGTGAAAAATACAGAAAATTGCCCCACAAGAAAAGTTCCCCTGTTCTTCTTCTTCTGCAGTTCATAGCCACATACAGAACCCTTTTTGAATCTTTGATCCTTTTCTGTTTTTGCCTCTTACACATGGGAGACCGATTATATTTTCGAATTTTAAAATTCCGATACAAATACTATACCCACTCGTCGCTGATCGAGAAACTTGGTTTAAGTAATTTACACAAGCATCGATAATATGAGGGATAATGGCACGTAGACGTCTAATTAATCAAAGGTAACCGGATTACCCCTCCACCTATTCAATGAATGACCTTTTTAACCCATAAAAACCAAATTTAAGCACCTAAAAAGTAAAAAATAAATTAAAGGATCTTATAAACCAAAGCATGAAAGTTCGTAGGGTCTAATTGACGTTAACACTTAAAATTTATACAGGAGCGTGTACAACACTCTCTTCGGTCGCGTGAATGTAATATAGAATATCAATTTGTGTATGAAATAGGCAATATCGTCATCATACTATTGCTGTGGACGGCGGGATCCGTTAAATTACCGTGAACTCGTATATCCCTCCCTACGCTGTCAACAATACCGCGTCTGACGGCTCAGTTATCTTCCGTCATCTCTCCCAGCTCTGTTTATAAGCTCCTCAGCCGCTTATTTTATCGAATCCCTATCGGTTTCGTCTCCTGAGTCCCGAGTTTCGTTGCATGCACCAAAAGATATAAATACAACCCAACATATAGCTACGATCTTATCTTTCAGCTGTGTCAACTGAGACCTAGTCTTTCGTCTTCTTCAAGGTACGCCCAAGGACTATTCTTCTTAAATTTCACCTTGATCAAAGTTTTGTAGTCGTTCTTTTCTTCTATCAGATGGGATTTGTTCATTTTTTTTAATAGATTAGGAGTCAGGATTCGTTGTTACCTGTTCGTTGAAATGCTCAAGAGAAAAAATTCTATTTTTTTAGATCTTTTTCTTGCTGGGTAAACCTTCTTAAATTTTTTTTTTCTGATCGAAACTTCTGCAACAAGATTGAAGAGTATGTTTTTTTTTTCTCTTGAAATGATTAAGTTCATGGTTCGTCTGTTACCCGTTTGTTGAAATGCTTGAGAGAAAGAAACTGAAAGTCATGTTTATTGTACGGAGGAGACATTTCTTATTTATTTTCGGATGGTTTACTTTCATTAAATAAAGGGATAAAATCGAGTCAAAGAGTTGATTTTTTAGGTTTGGCCGGTTGGTGGAAATTTTTATAAATTTCTTTTATCATAAACACACTTTTATCAAATCTTTAATCTTTATAGTTTAGATGGATTACAATCATCTCTTTCTTCTTAACTCATTCAGATTTGAAAGAAAACAAGCAAATGGTGTACGCCATCTGATGCATAACAAATAGCATGGACTCAGAACAAATTTTCAGCTACAGAACAACCGGTCAAACCTCATCATACCCACAAACTCCCCCAATTCCCACAAAACTAATCAATTCCCTAAAATTCGAATCAAGAAACTCCCCAAAATCCCCATTTTTAACACCTTTCGATTCAGAAACATTCACCGCATTAAGCGACAACAGCCCTTCTTCCGTTGAAGATTGCACCTCTTTTAACCACAGTGGCACTGCTTACATGAAAAATGCTCTTCACGATATAGAAACCACCCTAATGGCTCCAGATGATGACGTCACCATGCCCATGACCTGTATGGGTCAACCCGGATCCAATCTAAACAACTTGCTTATCGCATGTGCAAGTGCTTTAGCAAGCAACAAGCCTGACGAATTTGAAAAATTAGTGGAACAAGCAAGGGCATTTGTGTCAATTAGCGGCGACCCAATTCAACGACTAGGCGCGTATATAGTCGAAGGGTTGGTAGCAAGAAAGGAATGTTCAGGGAACAATATTTATCGGGCTTTAAGGTGTAAAGAACCCGAAGGTAAAGAATTACTTTCCTACATGCATATTTTATACGAAATTTGCCCGTATTTGAAATTCGGGTATATGGCTGCAAACGGGGCAATAGCCGAAGCGGTTAGAACTGAAGACCGTATCCACATCATTGACTTCCAAATAGCCCAAGGCACCCAATGGATGACCCTTTTACAAGCCCTAGCGGCCCGGCCCGGTGGGCCCCCACACGTGCGTATCACCGGAATCGACGATCCCGTTTCCCGATACGCACGTGGCGATTCTCTGGAATTGGTCGGGAAACGGTTGGAATCGGTTTCCCAAAAGTTCAAAATCCCAATCGAGTTTAATCCGATTCAAGTATTCGCACCGTTTGTGACTAAAGAAATGCTCGATGTGAGGCCCGGTGAGGCTCTCGCAGTCAATTTTGCCCTTCAATTGCATCACATGGCGGATGAGAGCGTTGACTTGTCAAACCCTAGAGACGAGAGGTTAAGAATGGTGAAATCTTTGAACCCGAAGGTTGTAACGTTAGTTGAACAAGAATCGAATACGAATACTGCGGCGTTCTTTCCAAGATTCTTGGAGGTTTTGGACTATTACACTGCGATGTTTGAAAGTATGGATGTGACGTTACCGATCGATAGGAAAAAGAGGATTAAGGTTGAACAACATTGTTTGGCGCGAGATATTGTGAATATTATTGCGTGTGAAGGTAAGGAAAGAGTGGAAAGACATGAGTTGCTTATGAAGTGGAGGTCGAGGTTTATGATGGCGGGATTTACGCAGTGTTCGTTGAGTCCGTATGTGAATTCGGTTATTAGGAATCTTTTGAAGCGTTATTCAGAGAATTATACGTTGGTTGAAAAAGATGGAGCTATGTTGTTGGGGTGGAAAGAGAGGAATCTTATTTCGGCATCTGCATGGCATTGAGATTGTGGTTTGTTATATGGGATAAGATAATATTTGACAGGATGGGACATGATTAGATATAACTGGACCGAGAACATACGAGACATGTCATTCATGTCTTTTTAAGATGATACACTGAGCTTTGTCATGTGCAGTGTCAACTGAGATCGAAGACTCATGGAAAGGGGCAAGTGTTAGAGCAACATGTTTTTTTTTTCTTGTAATCAAATAAGGCTAAAATAAGATGTGGTAGTTCTGGGTTTAAACTTAGATGAGTTTTTTTTCATTGGTTAAAATGATGGTTAGTAATGTTAGTTATTAAAACATTGTTTATTGTTAGTAGAGTTGTATGAAAATATTCTGTACGAGTATGTTAATATGTTTGATGAATGTTTGGTTTGGGAACTTAAATAACTCATAGATATGAAAATATGAAAATCATTATTGGTTATGCGTTTTGGGCCGCCCCGATCTCTCCGGCCCTCACCATGCTAACTTTTTTTTTAAGACTTAATATTTTAACATGAGAAATTTATAAATATAGTTAAATTTTAAAAAATAGCAAAAAATTAGCGTTTTAAAAAAAATAGTCATTCATTTTACAGGTGATTTTTGTCGGCTATAAAATCGGCCAGCTGCGATTTCATACTCTCCGGCTGCTATCTCGTGTATAAAAATACGATTTCAGCACAACGATAAAAACCCGATTTTTTTTCAATCACAGATCACCTGCGATTTCTTTAATGTGAGCTACGTTTCCCGGATTTTAGTAATAAAATATTAATCTTTTATAATCTCAATAAAAGCTTGTAACATTGAATTCCTTTATTTACATTATGCTAAATTCGAATACGTTTTGATAACTTGATGAGTTTTTTGATGTAGGCCTGAAATTTGGCTGAACTAGGTAATTTGAATAGCTTGAAAATTTTGTTATTAACTGTGTTTAATAAAGCATATTCAGTTTAAGAACATAAAGAACTCATAAATGTCTATTGTACCGTGATTGATAAACATGTCTGAATATACGAAAAAGTACATGCATATAAAGACTCAATAGGAATTTAAGTGAAATTCTTACTTGAATATGACTTGGATATATATTTTAAGCAAGTTTGATGTATAAAGAAAGTTAAAAAGTTAAAACCAAAAGAACTGTTTGCAATAATAATAATAATAATAATAATAATAATACAAAATTACATAAATGGTCCCTGTAGTTTATCAAAAGTCACAACTTCGGTCCTTGCTATTTTTTTTATAAATATGGTCCATGTGGTTTCTAAAACTTATATGGTTGGTCCTTAAACCACATAAAAAGACTACTATAACCTTTTTATTTTAGACAAAATTGCAAAAATGGTCCCTGTGGTATGCATTTTTTTAGGGTTTTAGTCCAAACCTCGACTTTTTGGATTAGTGGTCCTTTTGGACTGGTTTACATATAGTTTTGGTCCCTGTCCAAACTAAAAAGACTATTATACCTTTAATGAATTTAGTTTTCATTTTTCTTTCACTTTTTAAAATTATTATTATTATTATATATAAAAATGGGCCCACCTCTCTCTCTCTCTCTCTCGTGTATAATCGTCTTCTTCCTAAAAAAAACCCACACAACTTCTTGTCAAAATTAAAACTCAGACCATTTCACACATACATACACATTGTGGTCTCTCATCTTCTTCATCAATACACATATACACTTAATGGAGAAAGCTTCAGTGACCCTCTCTCTCTCTCTCTCTCTCTCGTGTATAATCGTCTTCTTCCTAAAAAAAACCACACAACTTTTTGTCAAAATTAAAACTCAGACCATTTCACACATACATACACATTGTGGTCTCTCATCTTCTTCATCAATACACACATACACTTAATGGAGAAAGCTTCAGTGACCCTCTCTCTCTCTCTCTCTCTCTCTCTCTCTCTCAATCGGCCACTACATCCCAGAATGCATACCACAACATTCATCTTCTTTAATCTCATACATCAATCTATCTTCTCCTCCACCTCTGCAAGATTCATGTCTAAATAACATTAAATCACCGACAACAATCTGTAAGATTTCAGCACTTATTAGCAATTCGATGATTAGTATGAAGAATAATAGGCATACTTGATAGGGGCAGCATAAGCTGCCGGCGACGGGAAAACGGACCTCCGGTCCTTGGTTTTCATCTGATCGAGAAGGCTAATCACGAACGAGGCAGTGAAAGAGAAGGCTCGGGGTGGTAACGAAAGCAGCAAGGGCTGCTTAAGCATCTCATGCGCTTCTTCTGTCTCGGAAGGAAGGTGCGAAGGTGGGGAATCCAAAGGGGGCTACCGCCTCTGATTTTTGCTCCGGGGAAACACCCACTTCGGTGGTGTGTTCAGGCCAGGGAACGAAGAAGAAGTGGAGGATGAAAGGGGGAAAGGCAGCAGTGATCACAACAGTCTTCAGGGGGGGAGTTCAGTGACTACGATCGACAAGTAAAAGGGTGGAGCAACAAGGGGTTGTTGCCTCGAAGTCTCGTCGGAATTGGCCATCACCCATGACAGTTCATGATAGGAAACGAAGGAGAAGACAGGCGAAGTAGAAGAGGCAGCTGCCTCCTGTTCTTCTTCTTGATGGCAACAACAAAATTGAATGAAAAGAATGGTGTTTGGAGCTGGTTTATCTCATCAAAGCTTTGGGTGTGAAGAAGGCGCAATGGGTTCGATATTTGGGTTGTTGATTTGGGTTCTTATTTTGGTTACAACTTCGATTTTCATCAGAACAATGGTGGTTTCAAGGTTTGATCGGGGGAGAAAAACGATCGTCAAAGGTGGGTGCTGGAGAGAGAGAGAGAGAGAGAGAGAGAGAGAGAGAGAGAGATGGGGTGTGGGCCCCATTTTATTATTAATAATATATTAAATTAAATAGAAAAAAAATATAAAAATATATCAAAAGGGCAATTTAGTCATTTTAATTTTCGGAGGGACCATTTTCACATATAAACTAGTCCAAAGGGACCATCAATCCAAAAAAATCGAGGTTTTGACTAAAACCCCAAAAAAATGCATACCACAGGGACCATTTTTGCAATTTTGTCTTTATTTTATTTTATCTTTTTCTTTTAACTAAAACTATTTAAAATAAAATATAAAAGAAAATAAACAATACTCCCTTCCCCACCCCACCCCACTCCATATACCTAAACCTTGTCAAAGTTCTTTTACCCTTCTTATTCACTGTCTCTGTTTTTCTCTCACTATGCGGTGGGAATATACCCTTTGGTCTCACAAAACTCCTATGTTCTAGTTACTTGGCCATATTTTGTGTACAAAACACAAAACGATACCCTTTACGTTCTTGTTTGCTTAGCTGTATTTTTGTGTATAAATTGCCACCAATATTAGTTAAAGTTAATTTTTTGAAATATAATGAATTTTAAAAAATCGTAATTTTATCAACGGAACCAAACTGGCGCTAAAATTATGTCTGGGATACCCACTGTTTTATAGCAGTACATTACATAAATGACAAAATGAATTAATTGATATAGATCCGGCCAAATACATACCTTTCCAAAACTTTACCCCATTTTCTTTCAGAAATGACTCCAATTATCCAGTGGAATAATAGATGTTGTAAGGCATATGTTATTTCCGTTTATGCTTATGTACTGTATTGACGATGACATCCCAACGTTTTTAATATAATTAAAATACATTTCTTCGGAAATGCTTTGATAATATCTTTATCATATTTTGGGAACAAATTCCACAATATTATTCTTTAAAAGGATACTCTGATTTTTAAATAAAGCATATACAAATCGGTATTTTCTGGCCGTGAAATTGGGGATGTCACAAGATGCTTCACCTCAGCTCAAAAACGATTCACACCCTCTTAAACCAAACTCGATTCCCGCTGCGTCTGCCCTGCAATGAAGGGCTACACTTTTCTTGAAACTGACTCTCAAACCGGCTTCCATAGGTCTTCACGAGCCCTAGTCTCTGATACCAAATGTAAGGTTCATGCCCCACAAAATTCACAAGAAAAAAGAATAACGAACAGGAGATTAAGAAGATTTTTGAACAAAGATTTATTGCTAAAAACTTGATTCTAAAAATGATTAAACAAAGCAATCGAAATACCCCTACTTATACTAAGTCTAAATGAGTCCTACTCAAACACAAAAAACTGCATAAAAGGAATGGTTCCTAAACTACCCATGGATGAGATTGCGTCCCAGATTTTGAATTAATCCAACAGGTGATAGATGTTATCAATTCATCATTAACGCAAAGTCGGTTGTTTCTTGTGATGGGAGTCGACTTCACATACTCAGTGGTGTTCTATGGACTAACCTTAAATATTGTCAACCTGAAAACAAATCTCTAACTTAGGATGTTAATTAATGCTCTTGTGGAGGTGCCGACGTTTGTTTTGACTACAATCTTCATAGATAGATTTGGGAGGAAGCATCTCGGAATTGGAATGCAGTGGTTCAGTGGGATCTTTTGCATTATCGACAACTTGTTGGGAAGCCAAGGGATTTGGGAAGTGTTGACGACGGCGTGTGGCGTTTTGGGAATATTTGGGATGGCGGGGACTTACAATCTGATGTTCATATACGCAATGGAGTTGTTTCCAACAGTGGTTAGAAACGCAACACTTGGATGTGGGATGCAGATCATCCAGTTTGGTGCTATTATTGTAACATCCCAAAATCCGGGGCCAAAAATTTCACTTTTGGTTAGGTGATTTATAAAATGGTTCATCAAAACGTTGCCAAAATCATGTCATTACATAAAACTATAATATCATGTCTCAAAACCAAATCATCTGGAATAACAAAATATCAGAGTACAATCCCAGAAAACTCTAAGCGGAAATCATATGTGTGTGTGTGTGATGCGCTGCTACACCGTCGACTCCTTCCCCTTGGACGAAGAGGTACCTGAAACCAAAACTGAAAATGTAAGCACAAAGCTTAGTCAGTTCCCCCATCATACCACATACCATACGATCACATAGCATACATACTATCTGGCAATTCTAGGGCGCCCGTCCTACCCATGTCAAGCCATTCTGGGGTGCTGACCTACCCATGTCAAGCCATTCTGGGGTGCTGACCTACCCTCCGGTCTATCTCAACGAACTCGGGGACTATTTCACCCCTACTACTACACATAATATCATATCATAATCATGCTGTCAGACATATCTGGGGTGTCTGACCTACCCATTGGTCCTAGCGATCGAATCGGGGACTAGTCCCCTTCTACTGATCTCACATAACATAGTGACTGGCAAACTAGCATACTCACATATCTAACAAACTAGCATACTCACATATCCAACAATAACAGACCAGCCAATTATCATAGAGATAATCGTCCCAACTATCAATCACTAGTGGGCCGACCTTGGTGCCTTAGACCCACTTCTACTGGAAGGTAACTCACCTCGATGTCGCGTAGTGTCTGAACTGTCCTCGGCGTGAAGGTCGGCTCTCCTCGACCCTCATCCTTACACGGACAACCCTCAAGTCATCAATAGAACATGCACCCTAACCAGGTCAATACCCAAAAAACCAGGCAAGTCAACAATTGGTCAAAGTCAACACCCAGTTGACCTGACTCGCTGAGTTGTTCTACCAACTCGTAGAGTCCATGCCCCACTAACCCGATCCAACCCCGACTTCACTCGTCGAGTCTAGCAAGAACTCGACGGGTTCTCTTCATTCAAACCATCGGTACCATCTTCATCCGACTCGCCCGAGTTCTTCCTTGAACTCGACGGCTCATCTCCCTCATAAGAATGTGTCCGGTCTACGACTCGCCGAGTTTATGAACAACTCGTCGAGTCCATCTTAAAGATTGGGAGATTGACTGGACTCGCCGAGCCTGTTCATACACTCATCGAGTCCCATGGATTCCCAGGTCCCTTTTCGGCTCTAAACATCTACGAGACTTTCCTCCCTAACAAACAGTCCCTCCACAGAAAGGATTCGGTGGTCATTACACTGCGACTCGCCGAGTCCCAAGAACAACTCGGCGAGTCCATCCTTGACCAACACTATACAATCGATTTAGATAGCCTTAACACCTCAAAACCTAGATCTGGCCCTTAAGTCCATTCATATGTAAAGCTCCAAACTTGGTGTGCACATTGCATGGGGGCTTTGGCTCAAAAGCCGTAAAAGGTACTCTACAAGATGCATGGGGCTCTCATGGCCATAAAGTTGGCATGTTTATGCCATGAGACCCTTCCAATGACTCAGATCTGAAGTCAAGACCTCATATAACACTCCACAAATCCGAATATGGCTTGGAAAGCCCTAAATGTGCCCAAAACCCCAAGTCTAAAGATGAATAAACACATAGAACCCAGACAGGGCATTTTACCTTGATTGAGCTGAAAATGGAACTAGATCCCTGAATCTCTAAGCCCCAACTCGAACTCTCAAGCTTCTTTCTTCTTCTCCAAGCTACACAAACCACCAAATGTACCAAAATGCCCTTAGAACACACAAAAACGGCTAGGGTTTCGTTACACAGCTTTCTGGAGTGATACGGGCGATGGAGGCTGAGATAAGTGTTTTTAATAGGGTGCAAACCCTCAGATTTAGGATTTCACTCAACCAGCACCTACTCGCCGATTCAGTATCCGAATCGTCGAGTAGGTCACTTAAACTGTCCGCGGATCTCGACTCTACTCGACGAGTTGGGCCTCCAACTCGTCGAGTCCCAGAGTAAAACACAAGAAATGCTTGAATTAACTGCGTACCAGGAATCGGGTGTTACAACTCTCCCCACTTATCTTAGACTTCGTCCTCGAAGTCTGCCGCTGAATCCGGAAAAAGCTCGGGGTAATGTTGTTGTATTAATGTCTAAGTCCATAACTATATTTGGTATGTACTTGACCCGACCCGGCATGGTCCATTTAGGTTGCACTTCACCGGCACAATTTATATGGATAGTCTTTGAGAATAGTATATTATGATTTATATTAATATATTATAAGTTCTAATATATTAATATGGAATCATATTATTTAATTAGTATTGATCAAGAATTAATTTAGAATTAATTAAGTGATCAAAAAGAACTAATTAATATGGACTCTTATATATATGGAATGGGCCAAGTTCATTTAGGTTGGGCTAAGCTTTCATGGATGGTCCATGGAGCTTTTAACCCATGGATCCTATGTAAATGAAAGGTCATGGGTATTAGGGTTTACATGGATGTAAACCCAATCCTCCATATATATAAAGGGGTCATTGGCTCACAAAATTGGCACAAGTGTGTGAAAATAAGAGTGGGCGGATTTTAGTGTGCATACATATTCTCTCAAGTTCTCCAAGGTGTTTTGGTTGATTTTTGATTCCATTTGAGGCTTCCACACTATTGGGGCTAAGCTCTTAAAGCTTGAAGACATCAAGCTACATCAAAAGGTATGTCATCTAACTGAACTTTGTAGTATAGGTGCTTCTAATATGCTAGTTAGGATGAAACCTTGGAATATTAATATTTGCATGTATAATAGAGAAAAACATAGATCCAAGGTTTATAGGGTTGCACGTACACCATAGGAGTGTTAGAATGCTCAAAACCCAACAGTGGTATCAGAGCCATGGGTTGTTTTCTGTTATATTGATGCAAATGTTTTATTTTCAAAGTTGGAAAAAAAAACATGACGTTTGTCAAATTTTAAGATAATTACTTGTTTTTGTGAAAAACTAATTATTTGTAAAATTTTGAATCATTTGCTATATGAGTTGAATTAGGTCAAATTTAGTAAAAGATAAAATGATATGATTATTTTATTAGTTTTAAAAGTTTGATCTAAAGAGTTTTTTGAAACCTCCATAAGTTATGGATATGAAAAGGTTTAAAAAAAAATTGATTCAAAATTTTTTATGGAGTTACAAAACTTGGTCTTAATGTTTTAAAGAATTCCATAACTTGTTCTTAAGTTATGGATAATGAAAAGTTTCATCATAAAACAAAAACATTAAACTCCATAAGTTATGGAATCCAAAAGTTATTTTTTTTTTGTGTTTCCTTGATTTATGAGTTAGTTTAGATTAATGAAAAAAAAATTGTGTTTTAGTTGTTTTCAATCCTAATTAATCTAGAGGTAGTTCATAAAATGTGTTTTTGTAACTTGTCCTCAAGTTACATAAAATGTCACATTTATGAATCTTAAAACTCATAAAAGTGTCATAGGTTACATAAAAAAAATGAAGGGTCTTTTTCATTAAATAGTATTATGACTCCATAACTTGTCCTCAAGTTATGGATGTTTAAGAGTCACTTCTTTAAAAGTGTTATTAAAGAATAAGAGGTTACATAAAAAATGAAGAGTCTTCATTTTAATGAACCATTAAACTCATAAGTTATGAAATGAAATTTTTTTAATAGTTTCAAAAACTTGCCCTCAAGTTTTGGAATTTGTAAAGTTTTCCCATGAATACTTTAATTCCAAGTTAAGCCCTTAGAATTTTAAAAGTTAAAATTCAACCCTTATACTTTATAATATTATAAGTTAATAATATTTATATATATGTATAAGAGCAAGTCGTCTTACCATTAGTAGGCCTCATTCACGAAGCTGGTCTATAAGGGGGGTATAAGGTTACTACCTATAAAATGGCAGTTTGATGGGTGTCCACTCTCACCCTTCCTTTGGCAAAATAAACATATGGACCCTTTGGTAATGGGACTATCTCAGACTTAGCCTTTCTCTTTACCATTTGGTTAACCGGGTTGACTATGGCCAATCCCTTTCCATTGGGAAGAGAATGCTTTTTCTGGATTTCCAGTGTCACCATTGTCACTGTCCATAAAGTTTTTGGGAAGTTGATCTTCTAATCAAATTTGTTTTACTATCGTTCCAAATCATTGCTGATTCAGCAGCACCAAGAAAATAGATATGATCATTAAGGTTCATGTCATAGTCTGTTTCATAGTAGTCCCAAAGGAACTCACTATGTGACTTAGAAAGTGATTGAACATCCAACTTTCTCAAGACTTTGACACCCAACTCTCTCGGCTTGTCAATATGTGACTTCATCTCTAAGATGTGATCATACATAGACCTTGCTTGCCATTAGGGCTTGAGTGACCTTGAACTTGTGGGTTAGGGAGAATAATTGGAGGAGGTGGAGGAAGAGAAGTATGACTTCCATGAGCCAAACTCGGGAAGTCATATTCATTAGGAAAGCTTGGTTTGGGAAGATCATTGTTGTCTAACCAGACATCAACAATGGGAGAAATTCACGTAAAGTTGATTTAAGTCCTTAATATAACACCCAATATGATATATTAAGGCTAGGACCCAACAAACTATTTTATAAATTGGAAGAGGGATGTCGTAATCCAAGTTATAAAATATTTGAAGGTAGGTGAATGACGATTCACCAATTTCCACCAAGATAAACGAAATGTATTATTAGGTTTTAATTGGTTTTGAAACTCCTGGATTCTTTTGAGATTCATTGAACTTTTCAATGGCATGTTTCAATCTCGAGTGTGCCCTTCAGGTTTTGTGACTGGGATGCCGAGGATCACAAAACAAGGTTTGAAAGTAACCATGCAAATATACTTGGTACCCTTAATATTTACCCCTCAATCGATGTGCCGGTTAACCACACACGCTCCAACGATACTATGATAAACATTAAGTTACCCTTTGTCTACCTTGTTAAGTCCAGGTTAGTGTGCCGGTTAACCACACACGCTCCACTAACAGCT